TCCAAAATCAGAAATCTTGGGATGCATGTGAACGTCTAACAATATGTTACTTGTTTTTAAATCTCTATGTATAATCCTTAGTCTTGAATATTTGTGGAGGTACAAAAGCCCTTGAGCAATCCCATCAATTATGGATGCACGTTTTTCCCAATCAAGACAAACTTTCTTTCTTGCATCTGTGTAAAACCGTGTCATGCATTCTAAATGGAGCCAAGCAAGATAAATATAGGATGAATAATGGAAACAAATAAAGCAAACTAACCAAAAAGAATTGAATCCAAACTTTTATTTGGGAGGTACTCATATATTAATATCCTCTCATCTCCTTGAATGCAACAACCCATAAGTCTAACAAGATTCCTATGCTGCAATTTGGAGATCAATAGAACTTCATTTTTGAATTGTTCAACTCCATGTCCAGACATTTTTGAGAGCCGCTTTGCTGCAATTTCTTGACCGCTAGCTAATATTCCCTGAATAAAATTTATTGATCTTAATTAACCAGAAAGACATCTACTCTCTTCATCTCATTTTATATGACTTGTTTAATTAATGAGATTTGACTGAACTTAATTATAATTAAATTTTTAATAATAATAATAATAATAATTAATTCAATGTTAGTAAATGAAATTTATATATTTGAAAGGAGAAATGACGGTTTTAGTTCATCAATTATGCTTAAATTGTGGACTCAATTCATAATTATTGTTCTATATGACTTTTCTCCTTTAATTATATTGAAAGTGATTCTTTCAATCCATTACTTATAAACATTAAAAATTTATTTTGATTTAGTAAATTATTAGAGTACAAATTAGTCATTTAATATTTGTAACATCTCAATGTGTTGGTCAAAAGAAAGTCTGAAACCAAAGCCTTTTTTCTTTTTTCTTTTTTAGTCTTTGTTGACTATGATTTGCTCCACATGGTTGACAGTTTGTGAAGTATTTGGTTCGCCTTTTAGGGAAAAGGATCAAATAGGCTTTGAACTTTAGCTTAAAAGTCAATTAGTAAATATCAATGAGGTGTCATTAAACGAATATACAACAAATAAATATTAATTTCTTATATTAAATGAGTTGGATTCATATGCACAGTTGTGGATAAATTAAAGGCACCTAAACAATCACAAGTACATAACATTTTTTTTATTAGCTTGATGACAAATGGAAGACCTCCAAGAATTTAGCTACGTAATTACCATTTAATAATATTAGTGGAGAAATTGAAAATTTTACAAAATGATCAATTTGTTCTTAATATTTTGAGAAATCAAAATAAATTTTTAATGTTTATTAGTAATGGATTAAAAAAATCACTTTCAGACATAGTTAAAAGGAAAAAATTGTATAAAACAATAATTTATGAATCGAGTTTACAATTTAGGCATAATTGATGGACTAAAATTGTCATTTTTCGTATTTAAAAACAACATATAAAATGCTCTTAACCATAGAAAATTGAATTCAAAAATTATAAAAGAAAATGTTAATGAAAATAATTAAAGAAAGAAAAGTTGAATCCACTAAAATGCGAGGAGGGAGCACTTTGTATTGTTAGTTTTGTTACTATTGCATGACATGAAGAAATTGGTGAATTTTAGCATTTAATTCTATCTAATATTCACTATAATACTGTAAGTTAACCATAATGGGGCAACATGTGTTTAAAAAAAAAAAAGGATAAATGTCAACATATTCATGAGTTATGAGATTAAATGTAAAAATAACTTTATTGAAATTTTTAATTAGAATGAATGGAAATTTTTTTCCTTAAATTAAAGTTGAAATTTCTAGCTTTGTTAGTTAAAAATTTGGGTGGAAATATTAAATTAAAAGTGATAAAATTCTAAATCACGTATAAAAAATGGAAAAAAAATAAAGAACTAAAAATGAAAATACTACTATATACTCACAAGGGCAAATAAAGGTGAAAAAAATTAAAATTCACTTCGAAATACATAATTTTTGGCCTAAAGTGTGAAAACAACAAAAATATGTGAGTATAGGTGATACCTTGTATACAGGACCAAATCCTCCTTGACCAAGTTTATTTTCTTGAGAAAAATAATTTGTTGCCATCTCTATGCTTTTAAAATTGAAGAAGGGTAACTCCTCGTCATGCCCAGCAAGTTGTTGCATGGGTTGCACAATTGGAGCTGTGTCAATACTTATAGTTGATTAGGCAGAGTTAAGAAATATGATGAGACGATAACACTGCTGGAAATTATGGAATTTCCGACCACCTGAAAATGATCTTAAATCAAGTCGAAAGCAAAAAGTGGTCGGAAATAGCAACAAAGGTTTTTCCGGATACTAAAAGTGGTCGGAACAAGACTTTCAACTTGATTTAAGATCACTTTCAGGTGGTCGGAAATTCCATAATTTCCAGCAGTGTAAATTGATATTAAAAGAATATATAGCAGCGTACCTATGAAGAAGCTGGTGCAACATTTTCTTGAATACCAAACTAGGAAAATCATGAGGGCCAGGGTGATAACAGGCAGTATTACCGTAAGAGCAATTATAGTTGTGGTTCTCATCATATGGTGTGACATATTCCTTGTCAAAGCAGCAGCAGGAGGAGGAGGAGAATGGATTTGATTTGCTTGAGATAATCGGAATTGAATTGAAGCAATTGAGTGAGGGCTTAGTTAGGTTTATAACGAATGAAAGTTATGATGGAGAAAACTAATTAAGGAAATTAAACACTACTGGAAATTATGAAATTTCCGACCACTTGAAGTCAAAAGCCTTGTTCCGATCACTTTTGGTATCCGGAAAAACCTTTGTTGCTATTTCCGACCACTTTTTGGTATCAACTTGATTTAAGATCATTTTCAGGTGGTCGGAAATTCCATAATTTCCAGTAGTGAAAATTGAAGCATGCAGGAAGTAAAAAGGATGGACGACCTATCTACCTGCTGCTTTTGCATAACGAATGTAAAGATTGTCGCCGTGAGACAAGTAATGGTATTTAGTGGAAGACGAAAATTTGCAACCTGTTCCATCAGATTCAAGTGTAGCATAGGTGTTGCAAGAACAATTTTTTACACACATTTCATAGCAGTCACCTATACTTAAGGTGGTGTTGAATAGCTCTAGTTCCCATAAATTGAATTCGATGAAACCATTTGTTAAATTGAACCTGTCTCCAGCACTACAATTGGATTGTTTGGGTGATCTTATGTTATGTTTTCGGGTGAAAGCACGCGTCAAAGGGCGAGTAGGGTTATTGGGGTTGTCTATGTTGAGAGATAAATATAAGGAACAAAGATAATAGGAACGTTTTGAGAGTTTTCCCACCTCTTGATTTTAACTTAACTTCTTTCTTGCTTGTCCTTTTATTAGAATGAAAATCCCCTTTATATAAGAGGGTTACAAAGACTAGTAAAACATAAAAAGGAAAGGAAGACTAGCAAAAACATAAAAAGGAAAGGAGAATCACTAAAGATCCTTACCCTAATTATTTGCTATCTCTAAAGGAAATAAATCAATTCTAATAGTAAAGATAATAAATCAGTTATAATAATAAAGATATTCCCTTAATCATCATATCATTACTCCCCTCTTGGACATCAAGCTTGTCCTCAAGCTTGAAATCTAGAAAAGTGGGAATTGATTAGTCTGGGGTCGTTGCGTCAATTGGCTCATCGTCCCCTTCGCCATTAAAGCCAAGCATGTATAGTTGTTGTTTGCAACGATGGCCCTTTACCCATGGTTCATCACAATTATAGCAGAGGCCACGCTTTTGGCGCTCTATCATTTCTGTCGGGGAGAGTTTATGGAACTGAGGGCGTGATTGTGGCTGTTGGTGCACTGTTATGGCGCAACTAGGGGGTGTTTGGGATGGGAAAGTTTGTCGGGGAGGTGCATTGTGAAGCAGGAGGCCTTTACGAGCATAATCTCGTGCTATGTTAATGGCCTCATCAAGAGAAACTGGCCGCATCCTTTCAACATCTATACGTAGAACCTCATCAAGGCCGGCTGTGAACAGATTGACTTGTTGAGAATAAAGGACGTTGTCAGCTCTAGCGAGGAGGGTCTGGAAATCATCTATGAATTCGTCTAAATCCCGACCATGTTGTTTGAGGTTTGCCAGTTCACCTAACGGGTTGATGCTCCGGGGTGGTCCAAAACGGAGGGTGCATGCACCTTTGAATTGATTCCAAGAAAATTGTTGACCATCCTGCATGCGACGTTTGTACCACAGTTGGGCGCTATCGAACAGATAATACGCTGCTGTGGTAACCTTCTCATGATCAGAATGCGGTGATTTATCAAAGAACAACTCACAGCGATGGAGCCAAACAAGAGGGTCCCCTTTGCCATCAAAAGTGGGGAACTCCAATCTGGTGAATCGTGTAGCCGGAATGGGAGCAGCTGGCTGCGGCAGTGCAGTCTCCGGAGTGGCTTGGTTGCCATGAGAGGCTGCCACAGTTGTGGAAGTGGTGGCCTGCGATGTGAAGAAAGAGTGCACCATCTGGGAGAGATTGGTTACTGTTTCGGTTAGAGAGTCCACAGCTGCAGGAAGGTGTTCCAGTTTTTCGATGGATGCCTGGATAGCTCGGACCTCGTCCTGGAGTTTCTTGATATCGCCCATATTGACGCCCGGCAACGGAACCAAAATGTTATGTTTTCGGGTGAAAGCACGCGTCAAAGGGCGAGTAGGGTTATTGGGGTTGTCTATGTTGAGAGATAAATATAAGGAACAAAGATAATAGGAACGTTTTGAGAGTTTTCCCACCTCTTGATTTTAACTTAACTTCTTTCTTGCTTGTCCTTTTATTAGAATGAAAATCCCCTTTATATAAGAGGGTTACAAAGACTAGTAAAACATAAAAAGGAAAGGAAGACTAGCAAAAACATAAAAAGGAAAGGAGAATCACTAAAGATCCTTACCCTAATTATTTGCTATCTCTAAAGGAAATAAATCAATTCTAATAGTAAAGATAATAAATCAGTTATAATAATAAAGATATTCCCTTAATCATCATATCATCTTACAACACACCCCTCGTTGGAATAATTAGTATCATTATAATGATCACAGTTAATATTAGTTTCTGATATTGATATCGCAAATGTCCTGCCGCCACTAACAAATGCATAAATTGCCCCAGTTGCATAAATTGTGATTGAGGCTGAAGCCATATCTAAATTCCAATCCCAAGCAAAATAGGTTTCATTGTGGTTAGAGAAATACCTGAGATGGGAATTGAGTTGAAGAAATGGAAAATTGTTTCCATTCCAGACCCCACTGTGCCAATAAACAACCCCTCTTCGCATGGCAACTAGCTGCTTGGTATTGTTTGGATCAACACAAAAGCTAAAAGCACCCGGAGAAGGGTTCTCCTCACTTGTCCAAGAAGTCAGACAACGCTGCTGCTGTTGAGGAGTTTTTAGGCCAAAGATACCCAATTTCATCCCTGGAACCCAAGTATTACCAGTGGGATGATCGAAACTTTGCCACAACGTACGACCCCCACCCCTCAAAACTAAGTTGCCGGTGTCAAGTAGAGTTGCTGTTGTGTTCATAACAAATGGATATTGTTGATCATGGTTTACAACGAAGTAACGATCAGCAAATATCAACAACTGCCCTTCTCTTTCCATTATTAATTCTGGAATATCACAACTTTCACTTTCACCTAGCCAAGCAACCCAAATTGTTCTTTCTTCAGAAGTGGGTGTGACAAAAATACTGGCCCACTGTATACTCAAAAAGCAGCTAAAACCAGAGCTAGAGCTAGAGCCGGAGCCGGGTCGCTTCATGAGTTTTAACTTGAAGAATTCATTTGATGACTCCAAGTAATCGTCATCATTCGGTAACAACTTTTCTCCAGGTGCAAGTGTATTTTTAACACTAACACCAGATATCAACAAGCTGGCATGCCAGATGAATAAGCAACAAACAATTGCAACCACTAAACTATCATACATTTTTATTCTACTTATTCCTATCATATGCATAACCCCTGTGGCCTATTTATAGTTATAATAATATTATTAGTATAATTAAAACAAGTAAGTGGGTTGTTATGAAAATTAAAAGTTAGAAACTTTTTCCTAGCTACAAGCTATCTGCGATTGCATTAGATCGACTTTGAAATTTAAAATGTTCTTTAGTATTTTATTTATTTATTTGCTTTATAATTTTTTTTTTTTTAAAGAGAAGGAAAACGGCAGCTTTGATTATTATTGAATAATATCAAAGTGTTGAGGACTTGAGGTCTTTTTTTTTTTTTTTTTTTTTTTTTTTTTTTTTTTTTGAACAAAAAAAAGTGTTGAGGTCTTTGAATTCTCTTTGTCTAACAACTTTTCACTATTTTTTTTTTTTTTTTTGTTTGGCTCTTTTCATCAACTGAAATGCTCAATAAACAAAAGAAAAATTGAGTAAACATTAAATTAGAGGATTAATAAATTTGTAGTTTCGTTTAATTATATTTCCCTCCAAGTAAAAAAAATAAAAAATGAACAATATCCCTAAAATTTGACAACCAATCACTTATGATAACCAAGAAAATATTTGACTAGATATATATAGGTTTGTCCTAATATTAAGTTATACAACACCAATTTATTTCATCTTATCTACAATCCTTTTGTTTATTATAACCACGATGAGATAAAATGACATCCTATAAAATTACAACTAGAAGTAACATTTAACAAAAAGTACTCACATATATGCTTGTCATTTGCGATTCAAGTTGTTACGTACTGAAATTTACTACGCAACGGAAGAAACCTTTCGAGCAGGATTCTGACTCCTAACCGTATTCGAGTTACGGTAAAGCGTGTGAGGGCTCCAAGAATAATAGTTAAAATAGAAGAAGAATTACAATATATTTCTCTTGGTGGTTAGACCGTTACGTACTGAAATTTACTACGCAACGGAAGAAACCTTTCGAGCAGGATTCTGACTCCTAACCGTATTCGAGTTACGGTAAAGCGTGTGAGGGCTCCAAGAATAATAGTTAAAATAGAAGAAGAATTACAATATATTTCTCTTGGTGGTTAGACCGTTACGTACTGAAATTTACTACGCAACGGAAGAAACCTTCCAAGGTTTTCACTGCGCACAAGGAGCCCCCCCCCCTCCACTTTAAGAAGTTGCTCCCACACTGCCGCTGGTGAGACTCGATCCCTGGTCATTATTCCAAAGTTTCACCTCTATGACCAGTTGAGCTACCCATGCGAGCAATATCCTCTAATTACATATATTCATTCCTTGTAGACTCTCCACTAATTAAACCACCAATTATTTATTTCTTTTGATACGTATCACTCTCCACCTCTTCAAAAAACACATTGTCCTCAAGGTGTGGAGAGGAATAGAATAAACACATCTTTGTTGAAGCGGTCCATGCAACTTTGGATGGCGGCTAGTTGGCAAAACAAAAGATTGAAATGGTTCTTGAGCTTGATCGTGACACATAAATGGCCTCCCCTTTTGGTTTGCACCGTCTAAAAATATCTCTTGCTCCCCAATGTTGAGTTCCAAGTCTAAGGTAGTAGTACTCACAAGGGTCTTGTCTCAAGATAATCCTCAAGAGACTCTAAGTTGTTGAAATCTTGAATGTTGCTTTCGCATGAGTGGCTGGGAGAGGATCGGAACTGTTATTATTGATGATTCCTTGGACCCTAGGCTATTTGGTTCTTCTTGAAAAATTAAATTAGAATAATTAGAAGTGAGATATTCCGAAGTGTCATCTTGGCCCGTCTGTAACTCTCAACACATAGCCATCAACAACTCTAAATCAGGATATTTGATGTCTAAAACACAACACCCATCGTAAATATTTTGACCATGAGTTTAGCACGTTGACGCCAAAATATATTTTGTTGATTGTATAAGTGGCGTATTTGTTCATCCAGGTCTCGAACCATATTCAAGGAAATATGATCTGTACGTCCCCTCAGCATATTTAAGCGCTTTTGCAAAGATTCAATATCATAAGAAAGTCGTTTCCCCAAATCACCGCCCCACCTACGTAACTGATCACCACAATAATCCAGCCGACTCGGGATGGATTCTCCAGTAGAATTCAGCCAGGCTTCATTTACTACTTCTCCACAACCAACATCTTGGGGCCACGCATTTTCAAACATGAATCGCCTACGTTGAGCTCGGATTCTTGGTTTCTCGAGATCAAGAAAGATGGCCGTGTGGTCTGAATTTATAACTTCCTTATTATAAACTGTCGCATGGTCATATAAAAGGCACCAATCCGCACCAGCAACAGCTCTATCAAGTCGCTCTTCTACCCAATTAGCCGTGCCTTTAATTTTTTCCAAGTAAACGGTCGACCTTTAATTCCAAGATCAAATAACTGGCAAGCATCTAACGCACTATTAAAACCATTCATAAGATGAGCTAGGTGACTATGTCTTCCTCTCTTCTCAGTTAGAGCTGTAATGTCGTTAAAGTCGCCAATGACCAACCAAGGTAGGGTCGACTTTCCATGCAGACTACGCAACAGATCCCATGAATGCTGACGATTTTGTCTCTTCGGGAAGCCGTAGAAACAAGTTAATCGCCACGGAGAACAATTAGGCAAACTAACCTGAATATCAATGTGATTCTTTGAGTAGCTGAGTAATTGCGCAATGCCTCTATCTTTCCAAAAGAGCGCCAAACCTCCACCCAAACCATCTCCATCCACATAAAACAATCCATCAAACTGCAGATTCACTTTCAAACACTCAGCATGTTGTCGTCTAACTTTGGTTTCCATAAGAAATATAAAAGTTGGCTTATTTTTGGCTTCAAGAGCCATTACTTCCTGAACCGTTCGTGAATTGCTAAGTCCACGACAGTTCCATGATAATGTACTCATTGAGATGGGCGGGACTGGGACATACCAGTACCCGCCAACAACAAGTTTTTTGACCCATCATTATCATAATCCATCGGAGTAGACACAACAGCATCATCATCATTAGAAGGTTCCAAACGACACCTTTTCTGTTCCAAAATCACAAGACCATCTTCCACGTCACTTGAACCATGCTGAATATTAGCAGAATCACTGGCTTGATTAATTTCCATAATAGCCACATCTTTTCCGCGTTCATTATTACGCTGTTGATTATTTTTGACTGGGGAATCATCTCGCTGATTTTGCGGAGATTTTCCTTTCCAATCCGAATCTACCTCCCTTCCCGGCGCGTTCCAACTACGCCGCTAAGCTGTTGTATTCGGTGCCAACCATCTATTCCAGGCAGATGGAATATTACGTCGATCGCCAGCACGTAGATCAGATCCAAAGGGCTTCTCAGACCGAGGATCCCAGCCTTGCACCTTTCTTGTACAGAACTTATCACCATGCCCCAATAAGCCACAAATGAAACAAAAGGTGGGGAGCCGTTCATATCTAAACTCAATCCGTATCTATTAACCATCCTCTTTTTTTTTTTTTTTTTTTTTTCAAACGCATTCCTTTCTTTAATGGTTTTGTAATATCAATGACAATACGAATCTTGAAGAAAGATCTGGTAGAGCCATCGAAGTTACGCTCATCAAGGTGACAGACTCCACCAATGAAGTCTCCAACTCCACGTAAAACAGCTTCCGAACGAAAACTAGGAGGTAATCCATGGATCTGGACCCAAAACTCAGCAGTATTCAGATCAATCTCTAAAGGGTCATCCATACCAGACAGACGTTTGAGAACGAGAAGACTTTGATCAAAGGTCCAAGGGCCATCATCAATAATCCTAGAAATATCAGCCTCATGATAGAACTTGAATAGATATCTGCGAGTAGCCAACTCATCTATATTCATCCCCATTGCAGGATGCCAAATCGTTGCCAAAGTATCTCGGAGAAAGAGTATTTTAACGGGCTTCTCCGTCACCAGCCTCCCCACCGCATAGTAGACCACTTCATCCGTCTCAGAATCCAGTGAAACATTCGGAAGATGTTGCTGAGTAGCTTCATCATCAAGATCAGCAAACGTCAAGTTGGCTAAGGACTGGAGAACCGGCGTAGGATCCATGAGAACAGAACCAATAACAAGAAAACTCAAAAAAAGAGAGGGAACTCGCGAACCAGCGAGAGAGAAAAAAAGTCCTTTTTGAAATCAAAGATAACTTGTAGAATATTCAACTTTTTTTTATTCATATCTAATGGCGCATTTTTGGTCATGCGTACCTAATTTGTGTATGGTTTTTGCTGTGCATTTCATAACATGGATGGTGTATATTTGTATAACAATTGGTGCGGCCGCACTGACCACACGGGAAGGCATTGCCACCCATAAACTTGGCACCAATGGGAATCTACAAATACACCAGTGTAAGGCTAATAATGCATCAATTACCAGTGTTGCAAAAATCGCGCCTAGGCGCTAAGCGGTCGGCCTCCTAGGCGCCCTAGGCAGTCCCCAGGCGCCTAGAGGGCCCCTAGCGGTTTTTTCAACATTGCCAATTACTCAAATAAAACACACAACAATGTGATTTCTCTTATTCCGGTGCCCTATGACGAGTTTACCCTTGCAGTTCGCTGGTTAAGAGAACGTGCGCGAAAATACTAGAAGAATCTTGATTAAATTGATTTATTGGATCTATCTAATCTAATGGCCTGTAATTGACCATATGACCACACCTAACAACATGACTGCATTTGATCGCCCCACTATATATATATATATATATATATATATATATATATATAGAGGCAAGTTCAGGTGCGGCGGTGTCTTACGGTGCGGCGGTGCGGCATCATCAGTAGTTCAACAAATATACACCATCAACGTTGGAAAATACACTACAAAAAACAGAGGAAAATTAGGTACGCATCACCAAACACACACCATTAGGGGTGAGTAAAAACACCATACACTGTTCGGAAATACACCATTGGGGGTGGTGAGTTATATGATGTATTTTTTTGGGTTTGTTGTGTATTTTTTGATGTTTTATTGCATTTCATTGTT